GATTGGTGGAAAGGATAAGAAGAATGAACTAATTAATGAATGTTTATTATTTGATAGTATCACTACTGGTCAGTACAGTTGTAGGAAGGTATGTGTGTGTATAGTACTGTAATGATGTGTGTGTGTGTATAGTTAGGTCAGTTGAGAGTATGACACTAGTACTGATGTATATTGATGATAGATTAGTAATTGTTAGTGTGTTCAGTAGATAACACTATCACTGATGAAACATTAACAATACAATAGAACCACCCACACATTTGATTAAAAATTACGCATTACATTATTTTTTGAGCCAACCTTAATGTGTGTGTGCACTATTAACACATTTCCTATTCTCAATATTGAGAGTTAAATTTGTACATGTTTAATGTTCATTGTTTGTTGATGGTGAGGATTAGAATTGATTTTACAATTACAATAAATGCAGTAGCTGTATAGTAAAGGGCAGTACTGTGATAAGCTATCTTTTAAGAAAAGTATCAAAGATATGCTCTCTTTTCTTGAGGAGAGGAGGATCTATTACCTATATTGCCTCAGGATCAATTTCAGCTGAAAGAGAACCACCAGGACTAGGAAGAACCTGCTTAAAGTGCTGCGTGATAGACGTTTTTATACTACTACTGACCCCATCCTTTCCTACTGTAGTTTTAATTATTCGTGTATTATAAAATTTTGTTGTTGTATTTATATGTTTTATATAAATTTTCTTTTGAAATAATTTTGTGGATGAGCCTATCAACGAAAGTTTATATAGGACGAAAAATTCCCATTTTACGGTATTAACATTATTTCTTATCATAGTTCTTAATATTGAGAATTAAATTTGTACATACTTTGTTATTCTTCACATGATGTGAAATAAAATGTTTATTTTGTTTGTTGACGGGGAGGATTAGAATTGATTTTATAATTACAATAAATGTAACGATCATCTACATATGAAATGATACAATTTCTCATTTTTATAAGTAACTGTATAAACATCATGTATCAGTAATTACTTGTATACTTCTCTTTATCTACAGATTCCTCTACCTGAATCTGTTACTGGTAGATACGGTCACTCACTCGCAGCAGTCACAATGTCACCACACTGTGTGTGGCTAGTAATTGTTGGAGGATATGAAAAGTATGAATGGAAAGATGTTGGAGGAGGAAAGAAGGTGCCGATGGGTACATTTATTGATGATACTAATAGACTAATAATGATAATTGAATTAGGTAAGATAATATTAATCAATTGTAAGGATATGAGCATTAAATACATAATTACATTAAATAATGTACCACTCATTTTTATAGTATGTACATTATTTGTAAGTTTCAGTTCCTAATATGACGTACATTTTCCATTCATTTTGTATACAATACACACTACAATACCACTGTATGTGTGGGTGTGTATTTACAACCACTATAAATGATACCATTAGTTTATAAATTAAATACATTTATTTATAATATAATGTATCTTATTGTGTCTCAGTATATAGTGAAGCTGGTGAGTGGATAGTACAGTCAGTACTGGATGGTAATGATCTCACTAGTAAGAACTATCAAGAAAAGTATCAATCGTACAGCAAGACCAGAACATGGTGGATGGATCAGCTAATAGAATATCCGACAGAGAGGGAAATGAAGCTTCAGAGATATATACAATCTTTACATGAAGACCTACAAGTGGCTCATGAGAACAAAGTATCACTACAGGAGGCACTGGTTGATGCCAATAAACAAGGTATATAGGATACTACACACACACACACTTTAACTGTACTTATAGTATACTACGTGGGCGCATCAAAGGCACCGCCTGTTCCGTTATATTGCATACAGCACTAGTACAACACTGGAAGTTAGCATCGGTTGGTTGGCTTCACAATGGCTGGCAGTACTGGGTGAGAAGTTCTTTGTGACCAGAGAAGAAATGAAACTGCTCTACCTATTGCGGAACAGACTCACAACACTCCTTTACGACCATTGTCGGCATTTTCCTGTCTTTCAGTGCCCAGAGATGTTCTTATATTGATCGTCGGGCAGCCAAGTCCGTGTTATGTG